GAATATCTATATGTGCATTTGCTTGCCCAGTCATGAGGAATTTCTGGAAGGATCTTGTCATTCACAGCTCATCACCTCTCTGTATACTTCCCTATAAACACGGGAACTGATGCCTAAGATGTGTGGGGGTTGGGGTAGAGGAAAAAATTCAATGTAAACCCTTCTAGGAAGCTTTAAGGGTTTTAGATTTATTTGACAGGTTCATATACTTACATAACAGATTTTAACTGTTTTCATATTTCAGCACCGCCCCTCCATAGTAGCACTTCTCAGCAGATTCCCCTCCTACACTCCTGACTTCTCTTTGTGTGTGACCCTCTGAGTGTAATTAGAGTTTTTTGCCTGAGTGTGGGATGGGAAGATTTTACTGAAACAGGAGCAACTATCAGGGACTACACCACTGAAGAAAATAAAGCCCCCCTCCCCTAAAATTTGGGTTTTTTATGTCATACCTGTCTTCTACTTCAAAATGAAATGTATAGACTAATTTTAAAGATAGTGAGTAAAGGTCCTGGGGAGAACAGCAGCCTGGCTGTAGAGAGACTGAATTCTAATTCTCATGTTTGCCATTAGCTACCTTCCTCATCCACGGCTCAGTCTCCCCATTGCTCTCACCCACCTCACTCGGGCACTACACATTATCCACCAAAACATGAGGGTTAAAAGGTTCATGCGAAAGAACTGGTAATAATTAAATGTCTTAATACAAAAACCTAAATTCATATTCCTGTTTAATTCTTAACAGCAGAACAACTAACCTGTGCAGTGCTAGGCAAGGGCTATCTGTTCCCCTTGCAGTGTGTAAGGCAAGTGCTATCTGTTCCCGTGCAGTGTGTAAGGCAAGGGTCATCTGTTCCCGTGCAGTGTGTAAGGCAAGGGCTTTCTGTTCCCATGCAGTGTGTAAGGCAGTGAGTGCTAGGCAAGGGTCATCTGTTACTGTTCAGTGTATAAGGCAAGGGCCATCTGTTTCTACCAAAGATTGGTGGGTATGATGACATGCACTTTCCCTAGGACACAAAAGCATCAGAGACAAAGAAATTTAAGGCTAGACAGAGCATCAGACCTTAGCCCAGGCCCTGTATCTATTTGTGAGAAACCAAGTCCAGCAAGGTCATAATTTGACACATCCAAGACTGAAACCTACTTCTCACCACTCTTAACTGTTCTCTTTACTCATCACTTTCAAAAGAAAAAAAAAACACACACACACACACACACACACACACACACACACACACACACACACACACAGTCCCAAAGCTCAAGAGAGCAAAGTTCAGTTAGTCTAGGCTTCTCATCCAATTTTCAAATGTGAAGGTTTCCATAAACATTAACCCTCTCAACATTGGAAGGATTGAAATCCTAGTTTCAATTTTATTGCTGTGATAAAAACCACCCAACAAAAAGTAAGTTAGAGGAGAAAGGGTTGTTTTAGCTTCAGATTGCAAGTTACAGTCCATCAAGACAGGGAAGTCAAGGCAGGAACAACAGCTAACTAGCAACAGCACACCCACAGTCAAGAGCAGAAAGAGATGCGTGCGTGCCTACGCAGCTCACTTTCCCCATTCCCATCTGTCTAAGACACAAACTTAGGGGATGCTGCCAACACAGTGGGCCGCACATGAGTTAACACAATCAAGACCATTGTGCACAAGCCAACCTAATATAGGCAGTCTCTCACTGTGACTCTCTTTGAAAGAGATCGTATCAAATTGACAACTAGAACTAACCACCACCAATTGCAAGACTCTTGAACAGTTCTTTCAAGTACCTAATTTTGAAATAGTTAACAATTTTTTCACTTTATTGTACTGAATGATTCTCTCAGAAGTAAAATCCATTCCCATTTTACATTAAACATGGGCAATTTTTAACTAAGAATATGATATTCATTTTTTAAGATGGAGATGTTTAGGAGCACTAGTGGTGATGTTTTTAATACTTCTGAGGAGGAAATATGCTATAGTTGTTGTAAGTATTGACTCTGAGCACACTGCATTTTCATAAGCAGTTCCAACATTTCTTAGCCCTGTGGCCTTGGGCACTTTTCTTCTGTATGACGGGTGTGTGTGTGTGTGTGTGTGTGTGTGTGTGTGTGTGTGTAAATGTGGGTGCAGGTGTGTACACACACAGCACCCATTGAGGAGCCAGAGGACAACCTAAGGAAGCAGCCCTCAGGCACCTTCTACTTTTTTGTCTTGATACAGGGTCTCTCATTTGTCTGATACTCTGCCATATAGACCAGTCTGGCTGCCCCAAAAGATTCCAGGGATCTACCTGCCCCACCTGTCATGTTGCCAATGCTGTGATTAAAGATACATGGCACCAGCCTGACCTTTTATGTGGGTTCTGGGGATCAGAACTCAGGTTCTCATGCTTGTGAGGCAAGTGCTCTGCCACCTCAATCATTCCCCAAGCCCGAAACTTCTTCCAGCCTCAGTTTACAAATCCTTGTTTCCTTGTTATAAAACAGCAATGCGAATACAACATGACTTTTAAAAATGTAAAATCACTGCTCTTTGGTATAAACATAACATCAGGACAGAACTAGAAGTTAATTTCAAAGAATAATGCTGCTGTTGTGGAGAGAAATATATCTGTATGTTCCAGAACTATTGCCACTGCTATGTCACTATGACCCCCAAGAAATATAAAGAGGTTAGTATGTGAGAAAATCTATAGTTGAATATTTGGAAGGTACAGAAAATATTTTCCTATAGATTCTAAACAAGGAAGTGTCATCAGTTTTGAATTATTGAAGGATAAAAATCATTGTTTTAATTCTCTTTGAAGGATATGAGAAACGTGCCCAGAATGTACCAACGTGTAACGTGCCCAGAATGTACCAACGTGTAGAATTTGAAAGCAACGATTGTTCTTAGGCTCCGGTAACAGAATATCACTAAACAGGAGTAATATCTAACAGGAACTCTCGAACTCTAACGGGTGGGAAAAAGACAGAAGATGCTGAGTCAGCTCCCTTGAGAGCCTCTGGTGGTGCTGGAGGACTCAGCATTACCTTTTCCTTCACTTATTAACCACAGGTCCACCCTAGTGGACCCACTCCAAGGGCATGGTGGGTGCCCAACATTAGGGGGTAAAAGTGATCCATTCTGAGTGAGACTCCAGGTGCAGTATTTGCTTTCTTGTCCAGGTCTGTTAGGAGGATGTTGCATAAATGAACAGCCCCCTCCATTATTTTGCAATGTGAGTTCAATTCTCTGTCTTCAGAGCAAGGGCAGAAGCACCTTCCCCTACTCCTGAGTAGTGTGCTAGAAGACACTTGCATTGGCCCAGGGACTACTGATTCCACATAGCAGCCTGGTAGATTCCCTGGAATGCCCTTACTGCTGGTGGGGAAGCAAGCCATGCTTTAGCTCCATGGTAAACTCTGGCTATGGTTCTGAGTCCTTTAGAAAAATATTATCTTCTCTCTTCAGTCTTCTGATCACTGTTGAAACCTTTATCTCAGTCCTTTGAACACGAGGTTAGTATTGATTTGAAAGGTTTGGGGAACACGTATGTAGGACTGTGGATTCAAAATGCTTGTTGAATAGACACTGTGTTGAAAATTCATTACACAGTGGATTACATCTTACTTACATTTACTGCTAATTCTTTTTTCCTCAAATATCTGCTACCTGACATCTTTGACTGACTTGTTCTAAATATCTACACTGGCGCCATGTTGTCTAAATCTTTGCATGAAGAAAGGCCAGAAGATTGTGTGATTGTGTGTGTGTAGAAAGATGAGAAGGGGGAGAGGGAGAGAGGGGGGATGGAGTGATAAATAGAGTCAGAGAGAACACCAGTATCTAATAGTAACCACTACAATTATTATATTTAATTTGGTCATAATCACATCAGGATTTTATAAACTCATCAGCCTCAGTCAGAATGGGGAGAGGGCTAATTTTACAGGTCTGAGATGACTACTGGATGCAGGAAACCAAGGATTACAATTTAGTAGCTATATGACTGACTCCTCAGCTGACATCCCATTCAGGCAAGTTATCACCTCACCTGTAAAGGAGACTCAAGGTAACGACCTCATGGGGTATTTTATAAATTAAATTTAAAGACAACAAAACACTACTAAACGTTCCTTCTGATCTTAGTCATCTAACAGACACGTAGTCTGTGGGTAAATCCACAAGTTCCAGACACCTTTTCTAAAGGACCGTGAAGATGCTCACACAAGTTGGATTTACCCTCAAATGTGGAAGGAGTATCAGCACCCGTGTTTCATCTAGGGGTGTGGAGAACCTAGAAATGACTTCCTTCCATTGTTGGTCGTGTACAGCGGAGGATCTGGCCAGCCGACACTGGAGTTCCAGGTTGTTGACACATGGATTAGTTACAGACAAGCAGATGACTTACTGAAGGACGGGCAGATACAGAGGCACCTGGGGTGTTCCTGTAGCCCGGCTCCAAGGCACAAGAGGGTCTGGGAGTAAAGGGTAAGACTTTTTACGGTACCCCCAGAGTTATACACGGTACCCCCCAGACTCATACATGGTACCCCACACCCTGCAGGCTTCTCTGATCATGCTCCCCTTGCCAACAATGTCAGTCTTTTTGGAGTTTCCAAGTTCATCTCTGAAACTCCCATCTACACGGTTTTCTATTCTGTCCCAGTGGGTCACTCCTGAGCACACCAGTTACCAGGGTCCTCCCCGCTCACATGAATTTCACTCTGGAGCTCCTTGCACCTCTCACTTCATCCTTCCTCCATCCTTCAGGACCCTATCTACCCTCGTCCCTGGGGACTCACAGGTACAGCACCTCGCGATCACAGAAACCTTCACTCCTCAGACCTAGAGAAAACGAAAGCCACTTCAGCACTAGGCCACCAAGAGGAAGCCGGACATGCGCAGAGGCCCGGGGAAGCCATGGGCTGCTGGCGCGGTCACACTGAGCCATTGGTGCCAGAGCGCGGCCTCGCAGAGCCACTCGGGGAGAGAGGCCGGGTTGGCCCGGGGCGGGAGGCCACCTCGTACCTGATAGCGCCCGGTGAGCAGCTGGCTGCGCGAG